ATTAATTAGTAAAATGTAATGCCACATTGTTTATTTATAATTAACATGATCTCATAACAATATAGACAATAATATTGACAACAAATAATCAGATCACTACAGCTAGAGTCACTGAACTAATCATGACCGATTTCTTCAGAAACACGATGTACGGGCCATTTGGAAAAATATTAGAAATCATTAAAAACATTTTTTTATTACTTGGTCTTCTTAAATCTGTAATCGTGCGCAAATTTAATGCAAATTGGCTTCATTCAAATTAAATCAAAATATTAATCCGTCGAAATTGAATTCAACATGTCTTATCATGAGTAGAATCATACTGAAAATTCGAATCTAGTAAAACAATCTCGAATGGAAAAAGGGAATCTACTTGTGAAATTGTATTCAGTCAGTGTTTGCAAATGTTGAGGTCCACCTTATTCACGTAGACTACAATCTGAACAATACAATAGTCAAATTTCGTTTATATGTTTCGACGAAAAACATCATTGAACTGTTTTAAAATCCGAAATATTTTTCAGCACTACACTACAATGCCAGCAGTTTCCATCCTCTATCTTAGGGTCACTGCTAGAATATAGAAAAAAATGACCCTATCTCGAAATGTCAAGATACAGTGAGCGAGAAAATTGCCTTCACATAAGAGTAATTTCTGGAAGAATAAGTCAAGGAACACCGAGAGAAGTCTGTGTCTCGCATGATTTGAATTCGAAACACGTTATTACTGTGGTGTCCTGAAACACATATTTACTATAAATTGCGCCCTCTAGTATAAATACGCTTCTGTGACGTCAAAATAACATGGAGGGGTTGCTGAATAGTAGTTTTTTTCTCGGCAGATGAAAATAAGATCAAAACAATTTCGTCATTGTACGTGACCGGCGTCCATTACATCATTACGCCACGGAAACCCTTAGTCGCTAGATGGCACTGCACAAGAAATACAACTACATTTTAAAGGACGGTGGTCGTCGCTATGAGTCCCATATCGAACAGGACGCGGCGCGACGACCACATCCTTTAAAATCAAATTTGATTTTTCGAAAATGACACCAAAAGTGTATACTTGAGTGGTCTTGAGCGACAAGTGAACGAAACACTGTACCAACAATTCCAGACGTGCTTTTGTATATAGACAATACAAAATAGTGTGGAAGTTTTACT